GATATTTGCGTCTCATTGGTCACGAAAGGGTTGAAGTTAACTTTAGAACGAGTCTTTTGGTCAGTGACTCGTGTAGCCACTGGACGTATCAACCCTTTGAGTATATATCAAAGATCTCGAAATTAATGAATTCTTATTTCTTTGTAATTATTCAAAAAATTTATTCATCTGCAACGTTACCAGCAATTTAAGTGATAAAAAGACACTTCCTTAAAGTTCACCGTAGAACAAGCCTTTTATTAACCCTTTCGGTAAATTAACGCATTCTTACTTCCTTGCAATCATTCAAAATTAGGTAATAAGTAAAAATTGATGTAAACGATTAGTAAACCTGTATAAAGAAAGAACTTCTCGAAAAGTGACAATCCTCGTAAAAATTAGGTGTACTATAGAAATTCATTACTTCCGACTCTGTTCGCATAATTAATTCAAAGCCACCGAGACTTCGTCGCTGCCAGGAAATTGGCAAAACGTGATAAAATATAATCATTTCAACGATCGACCTCTTTTCGTTCTTCTCAAAATAAAACTTCAAACCTGCCCAAAATTCGGAAAGAACTAATCATCACACTCAATCCTTTACACACCCGAATTTTATCACACCCACCGCTCGGATAGACCCCGAAACGACGCGTGTAGTCCACGATTCACCCTCCATTATCCCTTACACGACCCTCGATCACACCTCCTCGAGATTCCTCGAGCAGTCATCCCCCCGGAATAAGAATATTTACGACTTAACGAGGCCCGCTGATCGACAGTGTCGCGTGTATATAGGGTGTGGCCTCGCGGAAAGCAGCCAGGTCTCCCGATAGATTTTTCCAAAAAATTATTCCATTAGAGTAATTGTGTCCAGCTTCTGGCGAGGCAGGTAATAATAGTCACGGAAGGATCGCGTACGCGATAATGGCCGTCATAAATTGACTCACGCCGAAAGAGCAACGGAAGAGAAAAGGACAGAGTTAGGTTCGTCAGGCGTCATCTGCGTGGCCTGGCCTTTTTTTTTCCACCTCTCTCTCCCTCTCTCTCTCTCTCTCTCTTTCTACTGCCAGCTGTCGCGAAGAGTCGTTCGCGCTTTATCAGTCTGGTAATTAACTCGATTAGCCGGACGATGAAGCTTCATACAAATGAGCCGCCTTCTGCGGCTAACACCAATTAAGCCACCCTATCGATTGTGTTTCATCGCGAATCACGTGAATTACGCTGGCTAGCGTGAACAGAGAGAGCGGCCATCGCGTTCTAACCTTAAACACGCGATATCTCCGCAACTCCCCCTTCTTTCTTCTTCAACTCGAGGATCAAGGATTCGGTTTAATTTACTAACGACCATCACTCCTAATTTCACTCCACTCGACCATTTACTGATTCTTTCTTTTTGTCGTTGTTGCCGCTTCGTTTGGTTAGGCTGACGCGATGCTCCTTCGTGCAGCGACAAAGATGGCGACGGGGAACCCCTGGAATCCCCGTGGTTCACGAAACTCGCGTATTCTCCGGAGGAATGGGTTTCGCCCCGGTGTTTTGATGGGACACGCTCGAATCGATCACGAGATTTGTCAGTGGACAACGACAGGGCTTTTACCGAGGGAAGATCAACGGTTTCGGGGGAGCGTAATGTTGGTAATGCTATATCCATGGGACGTTCGATGGTTTTGGAATTTATGGGACATCGTTTAATCCTATCCCTAGGGCTGCTCTTCGGTTATTGTTGCGCTCGTTGCGGTTTTCTGGGAGATCGAGAGATAGTTTTGTTTCGTGGGCTGGCGATGTCGTTCAACCTGTTAACCGGGTTCTTTTTTTAAGTGGAAACTTAATTTTTCTTGTTTATCGTCGAACGTGAGGGAGAAATTGAAGGGAGTGCGATAAAGAGTGGATCATTTTTTGGTAAATCAATTGTGTTGTGTGTGTTAACTAGTTCTTTTTAGTTAAAGGGTTAAATTCTTGCTTTACGATTTTTTTAATAGCTACAAACGTTTATTTGAGCGTTTACTCGTTTTTCTTTGTTAAAGGGTTAAATTCTTGCTTTACGACTATTTTATAGTTACATCTGATTGTTTTAGGTGTTTATTGCGTTGATACCGTGTTTAACGAAGAGAAATTAAGATAATGTACATGATTTGTGCTTGATGAGCTTCAAGTGCAATTTGCAGGAGAAGTTCGAGTTGCAATTCAAGTTTATTAGAAATGCAATACTTTCCTTGTCATATTTTGACTGTTACCTGTAACACGAAAATTGCTGTTTATTACAAGGTGAAGGGCTAAGAATCTTCGAGGTTTGTTGAGGCCAATGTTGGCCTACTTTTAGTTACCCTGCGTTACAAAAGAAATTAAACGTTTTAAACGGAGATCAGAGGAAACTGAAAGAAAAATGGAAAATTTCTGACGATTCCTTTTAATCAATTCTCCAGAGTTAGCGAAAATTGAAAGAGATATCCAAAATTTACGACGATTTCTTTCGTTAATTTTATTTTCTCCCTAAATTCAGAGAAAATTGAAAGAAATATCCAAAATCTACGTTGAATTCTTTCAGTAGGTACATTCTCTATAAAATTGAAGAAAACTGAAAGAAAATATGAAATTTATGACTTCTATCACCAACTATTTTTATTTCTCTCGCTAATTTGATTTTCTCCATAAATTCAGAGAAAATTGAAAGAAATACGAAAAATCTACGTTGAATCCTCTCAGCAGGTACATTCTCCATAAAATCCAAGAAAACTGAAAGAAACCTCGAAAATTTACGAGGCCGTCGTTCCCTAAATTCTCCACAAACCTACAAAGTAACCCGAAAGAGATTACAAAACGAACTCTCCATAAAAATATCTCCATGACGAATAATTCCATCGAAAGGGGTGGCTTCGCGAATAATAGCCCAATTTTCTCAATAAATCTCCGTTTTCTTCCGTCGCACCGCTTCCTCTCCCGGTCTAAAAATTCGAGAAAATCTCCCATCGGGGACAGGAGTAATGAGACCAATCACCGCCCGAGCACCCGAAGAATAGATTCTTCGGAAGATTTTCGTGCGCCCGCCGGTGTAACACGATCGTCACTTATACCAGACCTCGAAGGACACGGGCTTCGAGACCGTTGTCATCCCCTTACGTGTTAAATTACCCCGTACCGGGTCGCATAGAGTGTAAGGGGAGTGCAATTCGACTCTAGATTGCGGCCGACAATGAGTAGGTGAATTTTCGATCCCCGACAAACAGGATCCTAACACGGCTTTTTTCAAATCCCCGAGATCTTTGTTCGCGAAAGAGGGAGAGAGAGAGGGAGAAAGTTCGAAGGCTAATTGACGGTGGGGAGGATTTTCGGAAAGGTGCGAAGATTCGAGTATTTGTGAGCTATCGATACGAAACGCGCGTTGGAAACACGAACGTTGTTTAACAGGCTGCTAGTTTTGGAAACATATATTCCGCGGATAAACGTTATGTCAAAACAAGAAGAAGATACTTTTATTTTTTCTCATTTTTCGTTACATCATAGTTTTCTGATCGTTGAAAGCTTCGTTAGGTTTGCCGGAATTTTCTGTGGTTCGCTAGCTCTTACCAGCGGTTACATAGGAGCTGTAGTTGTAGTTTATCGAAGTTACGACAAAACAGTGAATGGAGAAAGGTAAATTTCTCGTTATTTCATCGAGAATAATACGGAGTGAGGAGATAATAATTTCTTTCCTTCGTTTCGTTGCATCCTCTCCCTCCCACATTTTTTCCTTTTTTATTTTCTCTCTCTCTCTGTGTGGTTCTTCGTTCACCAGGTAGAGAAATGATATCGGCGAGAGCGGCTGAATTTTCCGATCGGCTTGTTAGCGATAGGGAAAAGGTTGTTCACGCAAACGAAGGTAACGAAGACGGAAGAAAAACGAACGAAATTGAAATCGATCGATCAACTGCTCCTCGCGGGCAACACCGTTTCATCGCAATTACCGAGTTAATGAGTCGCTTTAAATATTCAATGCCGTCGCTTATTAACGCCAATATAAATCGTGTTTAATCAGTCGAGCCGCGTTTAATCCAGCCGCGGCGCGGCGCGGGTTTCCCCGGCCATGCGGAGCTAATATCCACGGCGTCGCTCGATCCGCTCGAGTTCCTTCGCGTGCTCTCCTCCAGACGGCAATTTTTTTCCCCGATGCATCCACGCACTGAATAAACCAGCAATTGCCCTGGCTCAATTTTCCCCCCCTCCGATTCGTCAAATCTGGAGATTCAATTGTTCTCCGCTCGTCGGGAAGTAATTTCTATCCGTTGCTGGTCGATCTTCGTTGGAATTAGTGATTGTCGCGGATGTTTGGCTAATTAGAATTTGGAACGTAGGGCAATTTAAAATGTGGCGTTTTGCAATTTTACAGAACTGCTTTTTAAACAATTGCACAGAATTGCTTTTTAACGTCGTTTTTGGTAAGTTTCCTCGGGTGCTCCTGCAGGTGGCAATTTTTCTGGATGCATCGACGCACTAAATAAACTAGGAATTGCCGTGGGCAATTTTCTTTTCGATTGGTGAAATCTGAAAATTGAATTTTTCTTCGCTCGCTCGTGATTCATTGTTGACCTTCGTCTGAATTAATAATTATGACGAATATTTGGCTAATTAGAATTTAGAAAATGCAATTTGCGCAGAATTGCTTTTCAAAAAATTGTCCATAATTGATTTCCACAAAATTGCGCGGAACAGCTTTCCATTAAAAATTAGAGAACAACGCAATCTAAAATCTATTCCCGACAATTGCACAGAATTGCTTAACAAAAAATTGCGCGTAATTGATTTCCACAAAATTGCACAGAACAGCTTTCCAGTGAAAATTAGAAAACAACGCAATCTAAAATCTATCCCCGACAATAGCACAGAATTGCTTTCCAAAAAATTGCTCATAATTGCTTTCCCAAATAATTCTCGCCAACTTACCAACTTACCAAGAATAAACTCAAAACAGTTGAACCCTCAACAACGATCAATCCCCAAACAACTAAAAATCAAGCGAAACGTAACATTCCCGTCGCACCCTATCACAAAGGATTAAATAACACAAATAATTCGTAATCCCCAGCTCGAACCCATCCGTCGAACAAACTTGCATCCAGGAATTGCCTGAACAAACTGCCTCGTTGTATCGCCCAATTCTCATCGAGGCAGTTCAACACGTTCCGAGGACACTTGCCAAACAGCTTGGTGTCGCAACTGAAACGAGACCGCATACAAACCGTCGTATTCCTTCAACGTGTTGCATCTAACCAAACCCCTCCATCAAAATTACCAAAACTATCTAACGAAACTTTACAGAAACAATAAAAAAAAACAACAACATACCCATCTCTCTCTCTCTTTCTCACCACAAACTGAGCATCGTGGCGTGGAAAAAGGACACTTTAAACACACAGCTCGTCAAGGATGCAGATCTGGAAAGATACGACAGACAGTAGCCTCGATACGAATCGACTCCCTAAAGGGTACGTACCGGGTGTCTTTCAGAAAAAGAGGGAAGATGGTAAACGACGGGTGTGTGCGAAGAGACACGCTCTCTAAAGAGAGAGAGGGGACACGCTCTCCAGGAAGAGAGAAAAGGAGAGGAGACACTCTCCAAAGAGAGAGAGAGGGTACACGACACGCTCTCTAAAGAGAGAGAGGGGACACGCTCTCCAGGAAGAGAGAAAAGGAGAGGAGACACACTCTCCAAAGAGAGAGAGAGGGTACACGCTCTTCAGAAAGAGAAAGAGAGAGAGGGGGAACACACTCTCCAGAAAGAGAGAAAAGGAGAGGAGACACTCTCCAAAGAGAGAGAAAGAGAGAGGAGACACACTCTCTAAAGAGAGAGAGAGGGTACACGCTCTTCAGAAAGAGAAAGAGAGAGAGGGGGAACACACTCTCCAGAAAGAGAGAAAAGGAGAGGAGAGACACACTCCAAAGAGAGAGAAGGAGAGAGAGGAAACACACTCTCCAAAGAGAGAGAGAGAGAGGGTACACGCTCTTCAGAAAGAGAAAGAGAGAGAGGGAACACACAGAAAGAGAAAGAGAGAGAGGGGGAACACACTCTCCAGAAAGAGAGAAAAGGAGAGGAGACACACACTCCAAAGAGAGAGAAGGAGAGAGAGGAAACACTCTCCAGGAAGAGAGAAAAGGAGAGGAGACACTCTCCAAAGAGAGAGAGAGAGGGTACACGCTCTTCAGAAAGAGAAAGAGAGAGAGGAAACACACTCTCCAGAAAGAGCGAAAGAGAGAGGAGACACACTCTCCAAAGAGAGAGAGAGGGGACACACTCTTCAGAAAGAGAAAGATAGAGAGAGAACACACTCTCCAGAAAGAGAGAAAAGGAAAGGAGACACGCTCTTCAGAAAGAGAAAGAGAGAGAGAGAGGGGACACTCTCCAGAAAGAGAGAGAGAGAAAGGGCACTCTCCAGAGAGAAAGAGAGAGAGAGAGGGAGGAAGGGCAGCGTGTGCAGGCGGAACAAAACTAAAACGAGTGGAGAGAGAGTAGGGCCAAAAGGGGAGGGAAAGTTGGAGAAGGAGGAGGTGGGCTGGTATAGCCTGGGTGGATGAAATCGCTCGACGGATGAAAGGTTCTACTGGCGGAGAAAGAGAGATCAGAGGGCGAAGGTGCGATGGCGCGCGACGGCCTGTGCAGAAACGATGATTGAAGTGCACGTAGTACTTACGTTCCGCGTATACTTACTCCGGTAGGCCGCTGACGGCGTGCAAAACGGCGAACGATGCGGAGAAGAGAAACAGAGATAGATAGAGAAACGCAGAGCGCCGCGCGGTGCAGGTCCGCCATTGTCGTTGGTGCTCCCTCGTGGTCGCCAGCCCGCCAATGCCGCCTCCACGTTTTCTCCTCGAAAGCGACGATGAATCGGGCTTGAACGTGCCATCACCTGACACACACACACACACACACACACACACACTCCGTGCACACTTCATCCACCATGTGAAAAAAAAGTGTGTCGCGCCAGGATCGCCCGCACGATGATTCTTCTTGCGAGAGCTTTGATCGCGAACGCGACTGATAACGGCGCTTCTATCACTCTTCGAGACGATTGTCTCTACCCGTTCGTTTGTTTGTCCTGTCTGTCTCTCTGCGTGTCTCTGTGTGCGGAAACATCGATCGGGGGTGATAGGTGAAAATAAGTAAATATGCGACTCGGACGCGTGGCGGTTTCTTGGGTTCTTTTCGTTCTTCCTTTGTCTGTTTCTGGCGTTGGGGAGTGTTTGTATGTCGAGATTGCTTTTTATGGGACGTGAAGTAGGTTGTTGGTAGAGATTCTAAGGTCGTTTTGTTAGGGTTTTAGGGAGTTCCAATGGCATGGGTAATTAGTGACACGGGGTGATTGGTAGATTGCGGAATAGCGGAGTTTTTAACCCTTTGCGGTACGGATGGTGCAGTTTGTTTGCCTTTGTTTCGATATTTCAGCGCGATATTAAGTTCGAGTGTGATGTTAATGTACAAAAAGTTGGTCTATTATCGTTTATAATTTGTTACTGTGTGATATCTGAAGGGTAAAGTAAGACTCGACGTAGAACCGCAAAGGGTTAATTGGAATTTTTCTGCACCTTGATTTTACACGCTCGAGGTAAAGATGTAAGGGATTTATTTAATTTCTGGAATTAAATATTTTAATGTGGCTTTTTAACTTGGTTCTAAAACTCGCGTTAATTTGTCTCAAAGCCTGCTAATTCGTAGCCAAAAAATACTAATTCAGTAAAACATTAAAAAAGCTGAAGGTAATCCCAAAACTTTCGGATAACAATTTTCCTAATTCATAGCCAAAAACTGCTAATTCGGTAATAAATTAAAGAAACCGAAGGTAATCTGAAACATTTCCAAAAAAATTTGTTTCCATAAAAATTGCAAAATAATCAAAAATGGTCGCTTGTTAATTTATCCAAAGCAAATTCGTCTAATAATCTGAAAAACCTCTCTAAATCACATTATTCGACCCAAATTGCAAAATAATCAAAAATAATCACGTAAGATAGTTTACCCTGTGCAACGAATTAATTCAAAGCAAAGAAATATTCTCGACAACAGTAGTCTCGCCAAAGATGCTTCCCAAGACGACACACTTCGAAATTCGATCGTTCTCCACCATCGCGAATCGCGAACCGTGTTCGACGTAACTTCCGGTTTTCGAAGCGTCCTAGCGCTCGACACACTTTACAATCTTCCCGGCGAATGCACGAAACGATTGAACGAGGTTATACAGGGTATAATACCGAGCCGGCTGCAGCCGCGACAATCGATGGAACGCCTATCGTGCACTTTCCACTCCGCGACGACTCAATTACATCGGCGTTCTGCCGGGAAATCAACGGTTAACTTTGTCGAGGAACGACAAACTTCCGCGACGATTCGAGCTCGCTCGTCTACTGGGGCGTGGATGTCGAAAATTCACGATCTTATTCCGAGCCACGCTTCGTACAGACCCGAACATTTTGGCCTATGATTTTCGACTTTCGTTTCCGGGAACTGTTCTCGATTTCTGGTATGTATTACTTTGTCTAGAAACGTCGACATTGGATGTACGGCTCGACGTTCAGTTATCGTGCTACGTTCCTCCGAGTGACTTGGTTTGTGATAGTCGACGTTCGTGTGGCTTCTGGATGTTTCGACGGAGGATTTTAAGATTCGTGAAAATTCGAAATTTGTACAATTGCGTGTGTTTTTTGAAGTATAGAATTGTAAATTTTAAGAGCGAATATAAATTTGGTCCTTTATAAATTTATGGTACTCGAAAATTTGCTTTATCCTTCGAAATTTGTGTAATTACACCTTTTTTCAGAAGTATCGAATTGTAAACTTGAAGAGCGACTATAAATTTTGTCCCTTCTAAATTCATGATCTTCGAAAATTTGCTTTATTCTTTGATAATTCCATATTTACGTCTTGTTTTTTAAAGTAACGATTTGTAAATTTGAAGAGTGAAAGTGGGAGAATTTAAATTTCCTTCTTTCTAAATTTATGATCCTTGAAAATTCGCTTTGGCCTTCGATATTTGCATAATTACATCTCTCTTTAGAAACCAGGAAATTGTAAATTTGAAATTACAGCAAAAATGGAGCAGTCTAAATTTTCAATCCTCAAAAATTAGCTTTAACCTTCGATATTTGCATAATTGCACTTCTCTTTAAAAGTATCGAATTGTAAATTTGATCGGTGAGCTTGGGAGAATACAAATTTCGTCCCTCCTAAATTTATGATCTTCGAAAATTTACCTTAGTCTTTGATATTTGCATTTGTTTTTTTTTTTAAGTAACAACTTGTAAATTTGAAGAGTGAAAATGGGAAAATTAAAATTTTCTCTTTTTCAAATTTATGATCCTTGAAAATTTGCTTTAGCCGTCGAAATTTGTATAGTTGCATCTTTTTTTAAAAGCATCGAATTGTCAACTTGAACAATGAAAAGGAGAGAATATAAATTTCGTCCTTAAATTTATGATCCTTGAAAATTTGCCTTAGCCATCGATATTTGCATAATCACAGCTTTTTCTAAAAACCACGAAATCGTAAATATGAAAATTCACCAAAACTGCAAGAATCTAAATTTTGAACCCTCGATAACCGCACTAATTCTCTCTCACAATCTTATCTCCCTCGAAACCCCACAAAATTCCAAATTCCCACCCTCAAGAACGGTCAAATTAAAATTTCCCCCCTCCAAAACGTATCTCTCCAATTCACCTATCAGAATCGCGTCTTTTCCAAAAAAAAAAAACACCCTTGCAAATTCGACCATTTCGTCGAGAACGTTCCCAAATCAGAGTGTCGTCCTCGCTAAATTTATAATCCTGGAAAATTCGCTTTGGCCTTCGATATTTGTAACAATGGCGTGTGAAACGCGCAGAAAATCACGGTGAAATACGTCGAACTGGGAATTTCGTCGAACTTTTGACATTCCCGTACCCAGAGTTGGGGTAAAAATGGCGAACGGAGAAGGGGCGAGGTGGGATGATGATGAGACGTGAACGTTGGGGTGTATTCTGAACGACGTGCACTGGTGTGTATGGTTCAACGATCATTATTAGCGATTACGAAACGATCGGCTGTACAATATTCTCGGTGAAATTTTCGGATCGCAAATGTCCGTACAAAAACACGCCGCGACAGGCGCGGTGCATCCGCGGTTTAATTGACGTCTATAGACTTAGTGTCTTTGTTGTTCTTTTTCATTTTTTATCATTTTTTTTCCAGCTTCAGATATACAATATTCTCGTAGGGCGGGGTTAGATGAGAGAAATAGAGAGAAATAGAGAGAGAGAGAGAGAAAGAGAGAGATAACCGGTGAATTCTTCATTTCTTTTTCTTTTTTTTTTTTTTCGTAACTCTACCGTTCGTTTAATAAAATTAATCGTTTAAATACTTATCACAACAGGTAGAATAAGTGTCGTAGGAACCCTGCCTGTGTCTTACGGTGTATGGTACCTAACAATTAGTTACAATCTCTTCGGTTCTCAACGGATCGCGGTTACATTTACACTTTCTTTATCCTTCGAGACTCTTCGCTTCGCTTTTGCAACGTCCCCGTTTGTAAGAAGAAAAGAAGGAAGGAAAATACGAAAAGAAAGAGAAAAAATAATCGTAAAAAATTCATCAT